AGGTGGTGATTTTTACTTTCAGTAAATGTGGGAAATGTGTTTGGCGTATTTATAAAGGGGAAAAGAAAAGGAAACAAGGAGAAGATAATAAGGTTGTTTATCATGGAGTACGTGAAAGAAAAACGATTCAACTCCTCCATATTATTATTATTATTCCCTCTAATTCGAATTAAATGGTCATTAATTTCGGTTGATGCTTTTTCATGTACCTTTTGGTTTTTTCAAGGTAATCCGAGGCTTTCAAATTGACATTTAAAGGGGTGATTACCTAAGCGGAATTAATTAAATTGATTAAAGTGGTTCACATTCTATCTCGTTTCAATGAGTTTTACGAAAATTATAAAACTTTTACAAATTTTAAATTTTATGTTAGATCGAATATATTACGAGTACAATCTGTATTTATCTTTTCTTCTCTGATTCTTCTTTCTTTGGTTTGGATTTGGGTCTTCAAGGTGGATTATCAATTTGGATCTCTTTCGACTTGAGTTTCACTTTGTCTAACATTAATTTGGGAGTCGAATAACTTATTCTCAAATTAAATGTTAGGACACGATTTAGTTATAGAACTTCTTGACGGTTTTTTCCTTTGATCTCTATAGAGACGGAGTTGGATAGATGTGGACTTGAATAAAGTTTAATCGGCAGCTTGAAAGCTTTTTACCATATTAAACTCTATTTGTTGAGCTCCACGACAAATGGAGGTTGAAAGTCGCATAAAACACACCGTTGATCTTCTCTAATTTGACTTGAGAGGAGTGGGTGGCGGCCTCTTTATTTCTTGGAAATGATTGCCGCCTATTTTTATTCTTCTTAGATTCGGAGGTTTGATTCCATATTAAACGCCAATCTTCAACTTTAAGGTCTTCGAATTTTCAAGAGTTAATGAAAGCTATTGAACTTGAGATTTAACTTATATTAGGGAGAGCTTTGGAAAAGAAATCATCAATTTAATTGGTTTTCGTGATTTGATACTCTGGATTTGATAACAAAAATATTAATTAATAAAATATTATAATTTCAATGTTTACACATGGTACCAAAGTCAAATATCCATTTCTGGTCGTCTCAATTCTCAAATAGCATGATGAAGTTAATTTTGATTCAGTTAATTTTGCAGTTGTTCGAAAGTTTTTCCTTTTTTTTTTCCTCCTTTTGTTGAGTATATATCTTGTTAACAAATAAGATAATAGCTTATCAAAAATAAGGATGATAACACGTAACATAAAATAGACGACTAACACATTACGCAACCAACACAGATTATTACAAGAACAGTTAACACCAGCAAATTATGATTATTATATTTTCAACCAATTAAGATTCGAAAATTCAATTTTAGTAACGAAGGCGACGAAAATACTCAGCAGGATCATCCTCAAAATCATCTCTAGGCATATAGTAGTTTCTTCCGGGAGCTTTCATCATCTTTTTCTCCCCTCCTCCAAACAGCTTGGACAGTGCCCACACGGCCAGGAGGGCGCCGCCGGCCACCGCAACCACAGCCAAGGAGGTGGCCGGAAGTTCCTCGTCGTTCTCCTTCTCCGCCACCGCCAATTTTCCTTTGTTTACTCCATCTTGGTTGGAAGCCATGACTTTCTTTTCTTGTTTTTTGTTTTTTTTTTTTTTAAAGTTTAAGCTGGTGATTTTTTAATTTTATTTTATTTTAGTATGTAAATGTGGGTAATGAGAATGGCATCTATATATATATAATTACTAGCTAATAGAATTTAATAAAACCTATTTAATTTTATCTATGTGGCAATAAATAAAAAATATATTTGAAATTCCTAAATAAATAATAAATAATTCACAAATAAAAGACGTACCAAAATACACATTACATCCAATCAGATAAACGTAATTTAAAAAAAAAAATCCAATTCTTTTAATTGTAAATTTGGTCTGCAAAAAAGTGAAAGAAAAATAATTAATCATTATATGTACAGACTCACAATAATTTATTTATATCTGTGCAAATGCACAGGTCGAATACTAGTATTTATAGAGGGGAAGATTATAGAGTTGTTTATCTTGTAGTACGTGAAATAAAAACGATTCAACTCCATAACATAAATGGTGTAATTTTTTCAAATTAATATTACATCTGATTTGAAATTGAAAGGTTATTTAATTGGCTGGTGGTAATAATTTTGTTTACTAAAAGTTCCATGTGAGTAGGGATGAAAACGATCGGGAACGATCGGCATAGGGCTCAACCATTTCCACTTTCATATTTTTTTCTCGAAAACGAAAATGATACGATAATGTCGGAAACGAAAACGACATCGGTATTCCTGTAATATCGAAAACGAAACTATCCGATCGAAAATACATCGATAACGATCGAAATATATTAAAATGGTATTTAAAAAACGATAAACACACCACATTATAAAATATAGCATTAAAACATAAATTGAAATATTCTCACGGCATAATAGTGGCAAAATCCAAATTAAAATCCACGAGAGTGAAGACCGAAAGGGGTGAAGGGGGGATTTCAGGATTTGGGCACAGGGTTGGGCTGAAGGGGATTTAGGCATTTGGCCCATTTGGGATTTGGATTGGGCTTTATAATTAAAAGTGAGCTTAGTATGAGTTGGGCCGGTATTACCGACGGTAAAATACCGTTTAAATACGGTAATTTTCGAAAACGATCGGAAAAGGGCTAAACCGTTTTCGTTTTCATTTTCGAATTTTTTTACTGTTTTTATTTCCGTTTTTCCGGTTACCGTTACCGTTTCCGTTTAGCCTCCAAATCCGAAAAAATTTCGAAAACGCTTCTCGGTAATCGGAAATTACCGTTTCCGTTTTCATCCCTACATGTGAGGCTAATTAAGTCGTGGTTAATTTTTTTTATTTTTTTGGGAATATGGAGAGTTTTCAAATTTGACATTTAAAGAGGGTGATTTACCGAAGCAGAAATAAATGAAAAAGATGGTTCATATTCTATCTATTTTCAGTGCCACGGTACTGAAGTCAAACATTCATTTATAGTCGTCTCAGTTTACAAGTAGCATGAATTATGATTATTCAAATGTACATATATGCGTTTTGAAATTATTGAATATTTGTTAATAATAATTATATAAATTTAATGTATTGTAAAGAATATGAAATTTCATTCATATAATATATACTAATATAATAAATATAAGTGTATTTTAAAAATATATTTATGTTTAAATATATAAATATATTTATGTGTTAAGAAGTTATTTATTAACAAATGTCTTATCGAATTGAATTCATTTTATTATCTAAAACGAATTGAATATGAATCACAAATCGAATTATATGGTAAACCGAATACAAATACAAGTGATTGAATATTTTCGTGAATTTGAATCAAAAGGTTCAATATTCGCTCCGATTTAGTCTATTTACAATTTATGAACTTTATCTTTTTTTTTTCGGTACAATAAAAGATGCCGAAGGCCTAAAGGTAACTAGGTTAAAACTCGACGGGGATATGACACCCCAATAATGTTGTGTTCCCGCCATTCTCCTAAGCCTAATGGAGGAGAAGAAATTCTCTGCAACCCAATTGAAGAGGACAACGCTAAGTTCGCCATATGATCAGCCACAACATAGCTTTGATTTTCAGAACAAAACTCATTGTAATTCAATTTTCATAATGGGCCCTTAGTTCCTACAACTTATGTGGTCATCTGACAAATTCTTAATTGAAATAAAATAGCTTCAAATTCAACTCCTTAGTCCAAATACATACTTTATTCATCAATTGAATAAACATAACAATATAGGGAAAAAAAAAAGTGCTTTTAGCCATGCAAAATTACAACAAACACACAACCATAATCAAATTCTCTCCACAATCACTTGAACTCCAAATTCTGGACGAACCATAAAAACCTTAACGGGCGAATGAACATACGTCGTTGAAAGTACCATTCTATAACGCTGCAAAATCATGGAAATGACTATTTTCGCCTCAATTTTTGCAAAATCTAATCCGACGCAAATTCTTGGTCCGAACCCAAATGGCATAAAAGCCACCGGATTATTGTTAGTTGCCATAACAATCCCTTTCGCAAATCTCTCTGGTTTGAAAAGATGAACATTTTCTCCCCATATTTTGTGGTCATGGTGAAGGGCCAATGGTGAAATGTATAACTCCATTTGTGGTGGCAATTGTAAATTTCCAAGTTTCGTTTGTTTGTCGACCTTTCTTTTAATGGCCGGCACCGGTGGATAGAGTCTTAGCGATTCGTCAATAATCATGTTCAACTGCACGAGAAAGAAAGAGAAAACGTAACGCTAAAAATTTGCCAATGTTAGTTATGTGGAGAAATTGGAGATTTAGTTCTGTAACTAACACCTAATTGAAAAATAGTCCGGTGATCACATTGACTTTATAAACACATCCTATAACTGCAAAACAACTACGGGCAAAAGCCAGTCAATTTGACCGTCTGCTGAGCTGAATATCTTAGTCGGCATGCCATATGTACGAAAAAATGAAAAATAATATTCACATCAACAATCAGTCATAGGGACCGGCTTATGCCGGTGGAAAGACCAAAAGTCATTTTTTTTTACAGTTACAGGGTGTTTTGTAAAATCAGTGCTATCATTGGACTGTTTATCAATTTGGTGTAAACTATAGGACTAAATCTCCAATTTCTAGGGACAAAATTTTGTAGTTCTGTACTTAATTTGTGATAGGAGGAGGAGTCAACCAGACTTATAAACTAAACTCATTTTTTCCTATTTAATCAATCTAAGACAACTAATAAGTGATATTCCAACGTTCAATTTAAGGAGGATCCAAAATTCTTACTATTTTGAGTCTTGTCATGCTCTCTGCCTTAGGAACCGTTTGTCCGAAAACCTCGATAATCTCTTGTCTCACTTTCTCTTGCCATTCTTGATTCTGACATAGGAGCATTATTGTCCATGCAAGCAAAGACATCGTTGTTTCGTGCCCTGCAAAATAGAAAGTCTTGCATTCATCGACTATCTCTTGTACGGACATCTTCAAGTTTTTTTCGTCCCTTTCGTTGTTGGATTCTAGAAGCTTCCCGAGAATGCGAGGCTTTCAAATTGACATTTAAAGGGGTGATTACCTAAGCAGAAATAAATTGATTAAAGTGGTTCACAGTCTATCTCGTTTCAATGAGTTAAATTATACTAATACTTTTACAGAATTTACCGAGTACTCTATTTATATTTTCTTCTCTGATTCTTCTTTCTTTGGTTTGGATTTGGGTCTTCAAGGTGGATTATCTGTTTGGATCTCTTTCAACTTGAGTTTCACTTTGTCTAACATTAACTTGAGGGTCGCATAACTTATTCTCAAATTAAATGTTAGGACTTGATTTGGTTATACAACGGTTTTTTCCTTTGATCTCTATGGAGACGGAGTTTGATAGATGAGGACTTGAATAACGTTAAGTCTGCAGCTAGAAAGCTTTTTACCGTATTAAATACTATTTGATTCAGCTCCACGACAAATATAGGTTAAAAGTCTCATAAAACACCGTTGATCTTCTTGGATTTGACCACGGCCTATTTTTTATGCTTGAAACTTAAACTCAGTGTTTTATTCTTTGTTTTTAACAAATCTCGATTTCGATTTCGAGTTCTTGCTTGTTTTTGTTGGCTATATTGTGTATTGAATATATATATATATATATATGTGTGTATACGTTGCTAATGAATGAGATAATAGCTTATCAATAGAGATGATAACATGTAACACAAAATAGACGACTAATACAATACTGAAAACCGATAAACAGATTACTACAACAATAAAACCCCAGCAAATTACCAATATTATGTTTTTAACCCATTAAGATTCTGAATCAACTTTAGCGACGAAGGCTACGAAAATACTCAGCAGGATTATCCTCAAAATCATCTCTGGGCATATAGCAGTTTCTCCCGGGAGCTTTCATCATCTTTTTCTCTTCTTCTCCAAACAGATTTGACAGGGCCCACGTGGCCAGGATGAGGCCGCAGGCCACCGCCACCACCACCGATTTTCCTTTGTTTGCTCCATTTTCGTTGGAAGCCATGATGTTCTTTTTTTTTTTTAAGCTGGTAATCTTTTTTTTCTTGATTTTATTTAAATATGTAAATGTGGTTAATGAGAATGGCATATTTATAGAGGGAAAGAGATGTAAATAAAATATTGGGAAGATTATAGAGTTGTTTATCTTGTAGTACGTGAAATAAAAACGATTCAGCTCCATAAATGATGTAATTTTTTCAAATTAATATTACATCTATTTAAAATTGAGATATCATTCATGTAATTGGCTGGTGCATTTCTTCGTGTAATTATTTTGTTTATTAAAGGTTAAATCTGAGGCTACGTCTTTTTNTGGTTAATTTTTTTTATTTTTTTGGGAAAATGGAGAGTTTTCAAATTTGACATTTAAAGGGGGTAATTTACCGAAGCAGAAATAAATGAATAAGATGGTTCGTATCTATTTTCTGTGCCATGGTACTGAAGTCAAACATTCATTTATAGTTGTCCCAATTCTCAAGTAGCATAAATCCTGATTATCCGAGTGTAGTACATATATTCGTATTGAAATTATTGAATATTTGTTAATGATAATAATATAAAATTAGTGTATTTTAAAGAATATGAAATTCTAATTATATGATATATATAAATATATTAAATATAAGTGTGTTAAATAAAGATATATTTATATTTATATACATAAATATTTACATATATATATTTGTGTGTTCAGAAGTTATTTTTAGCGAATTTCTAATCGAATTGTATTTGTTTTATTATCTTAATATGAATCGCAAATGAATTATATGGTAAATCGAATATGAATACAAATGCTTGATATTTTCGTGAATTTGAATTAAATGGTTCAATATTCGCTTCGGTTTAATCCATTTACAACTTGATGAAGTGAATTTTTATTTTCACTTATTAGTAAATTATTTCACATTTAGTATCTTATGTGGTCATCTGACAAATTCTTATTAATCGAAATAAAATAGCTCCAAATTCAACCCTTATTCCAATGACACAAACTTTATTTCTTCAATTCAATAAACATAACAATAAAGGAAAAACAAATTACCAAAAAAAAAAGGTGCTTTTAGCCATGCAAAATTACAACAAACCACACAAACATACATTCAAATTCTCTCAACAATCACTTGAACTCCAAATTCTGGACGAACCATAAAAACTTTAACGGGCGAATGAACATACGTTGTTGAAAGTACCAATCTATAACGCTGCAAAATCATGGAAATGACTATTTTCGCCTCAATTTTTGCAAAATCTAATCCGACGCAAATTCTTGGTCCGAACCCAAATGGCATAAAAGCCACCGGATTATTGTTAGTTGCCATAACAATCCCTTTTGCAAATCTCTCTGGTTTGAAAAGATGAACATCTTCTCCCCATAAGTTGTGGTCATGGTGAAGGGTCAATGGTGAAATGTATAATTCCATATGTGGTGGCAAATGTAAATTTCCAAGTTTCGTTCGTTTGTCGACCTTTCTTTTAATGGCCGGCACCGGTGGATAGAGTCTTAGTGATTCGTCAATAATCATGTTCAACTGCATGAAAAAGAAAGAAAAAACGTAACGCTAAAAATTTGCCAATGTTAGTTATGTGGAGAAATTGGAGATTTAGTTCTGTAACTAACACCTAATTGAAAAATAGTCTGGTGATCACATTGACTTTATAAACACATCCTATAACAGCAAAACAACACTGGCAAAAGCCAGTCAATTTGACCGTCTGCTGAGCTGAATATCTTAGTCGGCTGCCATATGTACGAAAAAATGAAAAATAATATTCATATCAACAATCAGTCATAGGGACCGGCTTATGCCGGTGGAAAGACCAAAAGTCATGTTTTTTTACAGTTACAGGGTGTTTTGTAAAATCAGTGCTATCATTGGACTATTTATCAATTTGGTGTAAATTATAGGACTAAATCTCCAATTTCTAGGGACAATTTTGTAGTTCAGTACTTAATTTGTGATAGGAGGACGAGTCAACCAGACTTATAAACTAAACTCATTTTTTCCTATTTAATCAATTTAAGACAACTCATAAGTGATATTCCAACGTTCAATTTAAGGAGGATCCAAAATTCTTACTATGTTGAGTCTTGTCATGCTCTCTGCCTTAGGAACCGTTTGTCCGAGAACCTCGATAATCTCTTGTCTCACTTTCTCTTGCCATTCTTGATTCTGACATAGGAGCATTATTGTCCATGCAAGCAAAGACATCGTTGTTTCGTGCCCGGCAAAATAGAAAGTCTTGCATTCATCGACTATCTCTTGTACGGACATCTTCAAGTTTTTTTTGTTCCTTTCGTTGTTGGATTCTAGAAGCTTCCCGAGAAAATCGCTTTTGCTATTTTCTTCCATTTCCCGTTTCGTAATAACCCGAACAATGCAGTCTCGGAGGCCTTTCTCGAGCTTCTTGGATTCGAGATCATCGTTGCTCGGAAAGATTCGACTGACAAAGGACCTGTAAATTTTTAGGTTAATTGCAAAAGGACCCGTAAATTTTAGCTTAACCTTTTGTGTTTTCCCCGAATAACGACGAACTACAGAGCACTTATTAAGTAAATTCAAGATTCAAGGGACTGCTTTATGATTTCGAAAAGGCAAAAAAAGATTGGACCTTTCCATAAATAAGCCCAAATGCAGGGGTGATTTTTTAAGTTGTTCTAAAATCTTTTTACCATAATATTTAGCTTCTAATAAATAATAATGTTAAATTAAAGTACCTTAACAAAGGGAGCTTAATTTTGTGTGTGTTTCGGGATAAAATCAACGTTAACTTCATCAACTTGTCGAAGATAATCTCGCCTTCTGAATAGCTACTGCCAAACGCGGTCTTAGAAATGATATCCGATGTCAATATCCTAAACTCTTCAAACACTTCAATTTCTTTGCCTTCATAGTCCTTCCATTTTTCCAACATTGTCTCCACACTTGAGATCATTGTCGGAATCATAATCTGCATGTTTTTACAAAAACGACCCCTAAAATTTATCATAATTGAAAAATACGCCCACGGCCACGAAAGGGCGTTGTTTGGAAACTTATGTAATATTAGCTGAATTTCACTTCAAGGCATTATTGTTTGTAACTTCTCATCTTCGTCTTACTTTTAGACTTTCTCCATGGAAAGCATTGTTTGCGAGTTTTCTCATTTTCGCCCATTTTTCCCCTTTTGATGACGAGAGCCCATCTCCAAGTAGCCTTTTGGCATGACCTTCAAGATCTATTTTTGGAAAGTTTCCGTCTTTATCGTTTAGTATTTCCTTAACAAGTTCGAGCTCAGTGACTACTAATTGCGCTTGAGGGCCGTACCAATTCAAGAAATTCGCACCTACGTCAAAAAAAAAATAAAAAAAAAATAAAGCGGTTAATCATAAATTCGAAACAAGCAATAAAAAACCGAAATGTAGTATTAATTACCATATAAGTTTGCCCAATAGTGCACATGTGGCAAGATTCTCGGGTAAATATCGTGTGAAACGCGGTCCATGGATTTTACCGTAGTCTCTCGTGTCATGTTCATGATTTCTCGTGTGTTTCCAAAAAGGAATCTGTAACGAGGGCCGTTGATTCCTTGTGATCTCATCAAATGTTGGTATCTTATTGGATTTAGCCATAATTTTTGTAGGTAGTGTATGAGAGTTAACAGGGCACAAATGAATGAAAAGCTAATTACAAGGACTAAAATGAAGGAGAAACAAGTCATAAGATGATTTTGATCAAGTGAAAAATTTGCTAAAGATTTTCAAGTAGAAATCAGCTTATATGAAGGAAGAAGTTTTGTGAGTTGCATATTCTATCTTGTTGTGAACATCTCTTTTTAGTTCACTATTTTGCTTATGATGATGTCATTGTCTGAAAGCTATCATGTTGTCATTTCTCATTTACATCTTTATTGTTGATTAAAAATTCAACCAAATAGTAAATAAATTAGCAATAATTGTACTATAGAAAGTTCGACGACTCTTAATTAATTAGGCATCATTCACTTAATCCAAACATCTCATTGTCTCAGAAGAACTATTATTATACGTGGGAAAGAACTGTGTGGTCCATTAATAAGCTTAATTATTAGATCAATAATTTGGTAAAACAAATAGTGTAGCTCTTAAAAACTGATATGACATGAACAAAAAATTAAGTGAATGATTGTCTTCTAATAAAAACCTTAATATTGTTCTTAAACAGATAAACTTGCACAATTTATCTAATCTTATGCTCATTAACCTTCTAATACTTATTATAAGAACATTATAATCAATTAGAAGGTTAATTTATCAACTATGATACCAACACAATAGTGTATATTGATAAACTACGGATCTCCTCACTTTGACTAAGATCTGAACCTGATTTGATTAAAGAAATTCTTAGCAACAAAGAAGGTTTTAATCCAAAGACCAAAGTCAAAGGTTCACTTCTACTAATTTAATGAGATATCATTGTAGTCTAAGTTCTATAAACAACTAAAAATTTAATGTTTTTAAGGTGTTCACTTCTACTTTAATTAATTGGCCTCTCTAGATATCTGGTCCTGCTTTTGTTTTCATTTTAGTCACAATTTTTTTTTAATACTAATTTTGGTAGCTTATCTAGCCATAATACTTCAATCCATCAATAACAAGCAGTTAAAATCCCACCAAGTATCATAAATCAATTGAATCCATTCAAATTATTAACGAGATGCATCATGCATACCATAATGCCATTTAAATTTATTACCAAGACCTTCTAGAAAATAAATTTCCCAAGACCTTCTAGAAAATAAATTTCCCAAGATCTTTTAGAAAATATGTGATTTATTACCAATAATTAAGATTTGGTACTTGACAATATTTGATTGGTCAAGAATTAAAATATTAAAATATCAATTAATTAACTATTTAAATTTAGAAATTAAATGTGTAAAAATTCCTAAAATATAAATAGAAAATATAACTTGAATTTTAATAAATTAATCTCCACATGACATCATTTGATTGACCACAAATTTTATGTATTCACAGTTTCAAATAAACTTTTTACATCCGTGCGATAACTATCGCAAGAATATTTTGATAACTTCAGCATGAATACTGTAATATACACCAATTATTCTAGGGCGACTGTGATCTTGTAGTGTTCATGTTTTCCTATTGTACTTTTGTGATATTGATGATTCAGTCACACCATTGAGTTCTAAAAAGGATGACTTGCAAGAAGAAGAAAACAAAAATCTGCAATAATTCGTAAATCAATTCAATCCACTCAAATTATACTGATGGATGCATACCATAATCCATCAAAATCAAGCACAGATGATCGACCGAGATCAATTGTCAAAATGCCAACAATTTACAAAGGCTAACGGATAATACAATTGCTGTCGTGAGTCTGGCTGTTCATGCTAAAAACAGAGAATTTGTTTATATGTTGAAAAAAGGAATGGCAAACAAAATAAGAGTTTGCTGCATTTACTCGTTTAGTAAAGAGATGACCCAATCTGCTAATCACTTTTGGTCACAAGGCGTAAATTAAAATCTATTTCCAAAAAGAAATGATAAGTTTTTCCCACGTCCTGCGAGCGCAGGATTGAGAACAAAAAGGCTATCCGGTGAATTACCTTTCTAACACTCAGAAGCACACGAGCATAGATAACTGACCAGAAAATTTACGATGGTTACACATGAAAAGTGTCATAAAGAAGGCGAAAATTTCTCCTTAAGCCTGCTAATGAGCTTAAATTTCTCCTCGGATTCAACTTGCTGACGGATATCAGATTGTGAGGCTCGATCAGGGTGAAAGGACACCAACGCTCGTTTACAAGCAGTTTGCACCTACACACACACACACACACGTATATTTCAACTTATTCATGTATAGAAGGGTAAATAAAAACTAGCACTAAAGAAGGATTATGCATTTTTCCAGTTTAAAAGGAGCCTCACTAACAGTGGTAAAATTAAAAGTGGCGCGTGTAACTAACCTCTTGTGGCACAGGATTTGGCCACCCACGCACATGAATCCCCAACGAGTGCAACAGTGAAGCCATATTATTATGGCACAAGACTTCCAGTTTCTTGAGCTCTGTCTCAACTTCTTCACGTATTCTCTCCTTCAAGTTCATATTTTCCTTAACCTAAAAGCAAAGGTTATTAGCTCGAGAATTACTCAGATCTGTGCATAAAGTGAAATACACTGCTGAAATGCAGATGAATTTCAGAAATTATCAAGAGAATATATTTTTAGTAATTGGATAGAACTATTACACAAACCTTCCTCTGACTATTCCAAACTTCCTCTATCCGCTGTTTCGTTCTTCTCTCCACATCCAGCAACCGCTTGCTCTCATTTACTCTTCTCTTTTGCAACCGCTTCAGACGTTTAGCTTCTTCAGCCTATAAAACAACATAAGAAACTGTATCAAAATATTCTAGAAAGTATAAGCGGAAAAAGAAATAACTGTATCAAAACGCAACCTGAACTTCAAGAGCTTGTTTGCGGGAAGCCCACTCTTCCTCCATTGCTCTTTTATATTCATCTGTTTCCTTGAGTTTCTCGCGATCAGAGATTATGCATGACCCACCAGAAGGCAGAGTTTCTCCACTTGGACTGTCCTTCTCCAGTTGAACGTTTGATGCTGCATTATCCTCTTGTACATTAGCTTCATTAATACAATTTCTGAATGATGACGTGTCAGGGGTCTGTTGACTGTCAATATTGTGGGATTCTGTTACCAAGTCACCGGATAAACGAGAGGAACTGTGATCCGTTTGCTTAGAAGATAGCGTAGACCTCTTTAATTCACATCTTTTAGGCATTAAATTATCCATCTCTTTAGACTCCCCAGTTTCATGTAGCTTCCTGGATTTAACATTCTCCCTGCTATTGGCATTGTCCGTGCTGAAGTCTGGGAAATTCTTACGGCAATGACCTGAAAAAGGTTCACGGAGATTGCCCTTAGGCTTTTCAAATGAACTTTTACTCATATAAGTGGTGGCTTCATCCTCTGCTGGACTAGATTTGCCACAAGAAGGGTCTTCATGTGCACGTGATTTGGATTTTGAGTAACAGGGTTCGACTTCAGAAGCTTCCACATCATCAGAAGCACTTTTTGATTGATCGAATTCCTTACGCGACTTCTCGGAGGAAGGAAAAGTATAAGAAAATGGGCTTTCCCAATTCACTCCTGCACCAAATAGCCGGTTTTTGCAAAATTTAAAACCCTCTTCTGTTCCAGAACATGATGGATCATCCTTTCGGTTATTAAATTTTCCTGTACAAGAACTGGACGGGGTATTCCTTTGCTCAGCCACATCATCCATTTCAAAATTGTAACGGTGGCCCCCACCAACACCTTTTGATGAGCTATAACGATACCAAATATCTGGATGACTGTTTTGAAGATCCTTCTTTCTCCTGGAGGAAGCCTTTTCCCACTGTTCTTGAACTTTCCCTGACGAATCTTCCACCAACTCACAATCGGGATAGTCACTGTCAGATGAATCACTTTCATAGTCTAAATCCAACCCGTAACGGTTTCTTGTGGAGCCTTTTCCCGAATAAGTACGCTTGCAACTTGATAATCGCACAGGAGGTGTAACATCCTGACCACATTCAGATTCTTTGCCTGCGGAATATTTCGTACTGACACGAAAAGATTCTCCATCAGAAGAGGCTCCAGAAGAAAATCCGGCAGCCTCACAGTTTTCATCGTCATCTATGCATATTACGTTCGGAAATGACCACTTTTTGTCTTTTTTATGTTTGCCTTCTGAAGGTTGGGTTTTGGGGGGTCGTTCGGGAGTATCAATGATAACAACATTGTCAAAATTGTCGGCATCGACATCTATCACGATAACGTTATCAGCTTCCTCGTAATTCCTGCACCTTCTTAGTGTTTTCTCACCCGAACAGGGTCTGGGGTGCGGGTGGCCTATGGATATTCCGTTCATATTTCAACTGCATCAAGAAATGGGCACATTCAAGAGAATAAATCTAGGTAAGGGTAATGCTAGGAGCTAGTCAGTAATCGAATAGACCAAATAGTTGTGGAAAAAAATGGCGTTTATCAGAATGATCCAGAGAACATAACCAGAATTTATCCCAAAGTTCACTTTCACTAGAAACAAGAGAAAAATCAAGTTTACCTGATTATTTATTTAAAAGTAAATATTCTGATTAAAACTTCAGTTTCTCTACATAATTACATTGGAGGGTCAATATGCTACAGCACATAATAACAACCCTAGTACAATCACAGTCGTCCGAACATCGGTAAAGGCCAAGAATTCAAAAATCACGACGGTTGAGACGTTAATCAGCAAAAATAAAGACCCTTCTGGAAATAAAAGGAAATTTAAAGAATAAACAATAAGCTCATGAGGACTCCACTCTAATGTACATCGTAAATATTATATAACTTAATGTCGGTGCAACCGAAGTTATATAATGAACTGTAAACTACGTCTACACAATTGGAAAAAAATAAAATAATATTTTCCACTCCATTCATTGGGCTCATTTGGTGGGCTAAAGTATAGCAATTTCCCAATCACATTACAAATTCAACAATTAGATCATCCCAACCAACAAATTCCAAGCTGAACATCAAATTAGATCATCCCCACCAACAAATTCCAAGACAGAGTCTATATCTTAAACAATGCCTAGTTGAGTCAGTTACACACCCAGCAAAGAAACAATCGATAACTTGTCACAAAACCCAATCCTGAAACTAACAAGATCCTAACAAATTGATTCACAGCATAATAGAAGATCAAAACCAGACCTAGTGAAACAATTGAAAGTCTACCTCCCGCACTAAATTTTCAGACAGATGAAGGTATCTCAATGCCAACGAACACCAGAAACAATCTTATAACGCCTCCCACCAAATATATAAGATCGGACAAAATTCTAAAAACCCTAAATCGCACCGGCCCACAAACAGAAAACCCCAATTGCTTTACACTCCTTCCACACGACAAGATGAGCATAAACAGTAATCCGAAGCTTAGGCGATATCAGAATATTATCGCAGTAAAAAAATTGAACCAAAAAAAATAGGAAAAATGAAAGAATCAGATTCAGAAACGTACCAAACAGCAGATGAAATTTCTTTTGGAGGTTACGATATACAGTGTATGAGAACCCTACACGCGGATAGTCATATGAGAACCCGAAATCTTCTGCGGGAGAAATCTCGACGGCCCGACAATGGAAATTTCGAAGAGAGGGATATGTATTTTAGGAAATTGGGGTCGCTGTGATGTGGCTCGGATTTTGCTTTGGTCGGGATGTGTAAGTAACACTACGAAAAAAAAAAATAATAATAAAAAAAAATAAAAAATAAAAAATAAAAAATAAAAAATCTTAATGACGTTTATAGATTTAAATTAAATAAACACGTTCAAATCGAATAATATATAGTCAATGGCTTTTACTACACGTAAATTAGGTACACAATAGATATTTGGAATATATTGTGATTATTAGTATGTATTTCATGCAATGGCACAAAAAAAATAAAAAACACACACACACACATCGAAAAAGTCGAGTTGCTCGAGAGTATGAAGTTGACAACAAGAAAACGAAGCCGTTTGAGGAGATCAACCCTCTCCAAACACAACACAAACTTTATAGAGCAACTTGTTGACCGACATTTTTTTCGAAAATCAATTAACATCCAGTTTGTTTCTTGAGAGGACGAGCTCAACTTCATGCAAGACTGAAGTCGCTCGCTCAGGACCACATCTCTACTAAACCCTATGAGTTTTCTATAAGGCTGGCTTGCTTGTCAGAGCTGGTTTTCCCAGGCGAGTAATCTGATTCAGAAGGTTCCGTACTCTCCGCTCGCTATGTGAGAGCGCCCGATCCGCTTCTCTGCCTATGAGTGGCATGAAATGAAGCTCTTCTTCATCTTTGCCTGACTCGGATCATGAAGCCGTCAGTCAAAAAGACTAACCTTCGGACTGTTAGAAAGAATCAATGATAGAATGGTTCGATATAATTGACCTGATCGTCTCTTTTGAATTGCCATCAACCGGCTTGAAAGATGAGTCACTGCTGGAAAAAATTCCTATAGCCGCTGCTTCCATAGAAGCTCCTTAACCCCATCTCTTGAAGTCGTCTCTTTAACTAGATTCATGTCGTAGTTAATCTCCGAAATATGTGAAACAAAAATTATACCTAGGAAAAAGTGTCTAGCAAAATGAAATTCAGAATGCCGACATAGATGATAATTTAGTGTTTTCCTATCAAATCTCACAAAAAGTTTCCAAACATATAATAGCAAAAAAGTAAAAGTTTTTTATAGCGTTTGAAGGATTATTTATAAGATGGGACCCATCCCTTCATAAATAGCAGTTATTTCATGTAGACAACCTTCACACCGACAAATACATCGGGCGCAGGTTGAAATACAAGTTGGGACCCAAGTGATGAGACACATGTCAGACGGAATGATGGTTTATCTGAAACGTTGTCTTTTCCTTAATTCTCACATTAATGATTTTTCGCTTGTCCAAGTTAAGAAAAAATGTATAGCTAGGGGAAAATAGACAAAAAATTTGCACAAATTACCAAGTTTGACAAATAATGTTATTTATGTATCATATCTAGCCTAATTCCAAAGCTAAATTTAATATACAAACCAAACTACGAAACATATCCTTGTCATCAGCATCCGAAGTGCGAACCTGTCATTTAGCCACATTTTGAATTATATAAGAAAATGGTTAAGAAATGCTCAATAGTTTCCTGCATTAGAATTATAATTATTAATACTATCATTGGACTCATTTGTTTGTCATTGAATTGGTGCTAAATTGGTGGATTGCACCTCATTTAGAGGTTTGATAAAGAAAATATGGTAACTAATTTTTATTTTTATTTTTTTTAACGAGCTTATTTGACTAACTTTTTAGATTTAAAAAACTAATTATATAAGATTTCAAAAGAAACATTTTGGGAAGGGATTATACCAAAAAGAAGACAACACTAGGTACAAACTCTAAATTTAACTATTTACGAAATGCTTAGTTGACAAATCGCTAATTGAATATGCTAATTACACTAACTAATACAATCATCTATCTAGTCCGCTATAACAATCAGCTATCAATTAATTGCCAAATAATTGGAATATATTCTCGTTTTCCCAAGAAGCTGCATTTAGATTTGCAAAAGATTAGGATCTCACTAACACTGATAATATTCAGCTCATTTTCATAATGTATTACATTTCTAGTGACTACAGGAGATATGTCCAACTAATGAGCCTTTTTTAACCTATGCAGCACGAGCTATACATGTTCAAGATATCAACGTCAAAGTTAGTACTATAAATATTAACAAGATGCTTCAGGGAAAGGAATTCAATGTGCACAAAAAATTTAAGGGACATCACACACACATCACAGGAAAAACATAACTTTGTTCACAAACATAACCTGAAATCACAAATTCAGTTTGTGTTTCTATAGTATATTAATTAAAATGTCCGAACAAGCTAACATGAGTTGCTGTGGTGTAGTGGTTATCACGTCAGTCTTACACACTGAAGGTCCCCAGTTCGATCCTGGGCAGCAACAAAATGATTTTTTTTTTTTTTGGTTTATTATTACTATATTTCCGGAAATTTTGTTAACAAGAAAAATACATGAATTATAATGTCACTTATAAAAAGGAATAAAAACAACTTTATCTTATCTTTAATAATATATAAATTAATATTTAAATTTTGAATTGGATGTTAAAAAGATTGAGATCATGCAATTTGGTAAAAGTAAACACATTTGCCTACCATATGGCTGTCATACTCTATTGAATTACGAAACTCCAAATTGTGTTCTTATTTTCCAAATCCATTTAGCATTGTTGAATATGGTGGCAAACAAAAATTAAAATTTAAATGGAGGCAAAAATATGTGAAAACAAAAACTGTCCGCACATTATTTTCAGAAATTAGAGTTTTGTTCTCATTGTTTCTTGGCTGCTTATTATCTAGGAAAGAAACTGCACTTATGTATATTTGAGGAAATGTCTTATGGGTTTTTAACCTGCAAAATTGACTCTCGTTTTGTTTAATTTTCATGTTTAGTTTAAGATAGTGTCGTTGATATAGATTATGTGAGTAAGGCTGCAAGCGAGTCGAGTCCAGCCGAGCTCGAGTTTATGGTGCTCGAGATCAAGCCCTAAACGAGTCGAGCCGAACTCAACTCGTTAACTAAATGAATTGATAATTGAGCTCGATCTATTTATCAAATTTACTAGTCGAATTTGAGTATTAACAATTCAAATTCGAGCCTTATCAAGTTGAAATAAAAAAAAAAAATTATATAATTTTTTTCTAATTTCGAGGCTTAACAAATCGAGCCTAGCCGTCTTGCAAACCAAACAAGCTTTCCCATGAGTTAACGAGCAAACTAATTTTATTTAACATCTTTAGGTATGACCAATTTTAAATTATAGCAACCCATTTGTCAATAATTTTTTTTCATGTAAGTTGGTATTTCGAGATTTGAGTCACTATATAACAACAGTACGACTGTTGTTATGCAGGTCTAATAATTAGATAGTTATACTTTTGCAATGAATAATACTTTAATATTGAAATATTTTACTCTAGAAAATGGTACAAATAAAATTATGGTATTTCATAGCATAAGTATATAGAAGGCTACAGTCTCTGGGAGAATGGTTCCCTCAATTCAATTAAGGCAATTCGATCTTTTAGTTTTGATATGAACCCTTAGATGTAGTCAAACAAAAGTGATGTAACAACATTTTATTGGTTTTATATAAAGGAATTGTTCCGCTACGGGACTGTAACATTTTCCATCACTACAAGAAATATGAGTTTTACCAACGGAATAATCCGTTGGTAATGAAATTTCCCAACGGAATGCCAACGGCTTACCAACAGATTTTCTTGTTGCTATATGGCTTGTTACCAAATTTTGCCAACAGAAAATACAATTTGTTGGGAAAATTCCCAAAGGATTACCAACAAATTTGCAACGGAAATGCTTCATGAGATTGTCAATGGATTCCCAACGGAAAATGTAGTTGCTAAATCATTCCGTTGGCAAATTACTAACAGAAAGCCAACATATTAGTTACGAATATACTAACGGATTACCAACAGATTTTCTCAACGAATTTCCAACGTAATTTTCTCAACGGATTACCAACAGATATTTTTCCAACGGATTACCATCGGAATTTTCCCAACGGATTACTAACGAAATTTTCCCAACGGATTGCCAACTAATATTTACCAACGAAATTTTCCTGACAGATTAGCAACGCATATTTTTTCCCAACGGATTGCCAACGGACTTTTCCCAACAGATTACCAATGGATTTTTCAGCAAATAATAATAATAATAATATTGATCCAACTTGGCTCACCTTGAGCCCATGACCACCTTAAACCATACGGCTCACCATGACCCATGGCCATCCACCAATATAATCATTAATAATTCTCACAATTCTCCTAACAATAGGGCTTGAACTCAAGACCTCTTTCATGTTAAAGAGGTAACACCACCACTAGGCTATATGAATGTATGAGACTGAATTCTACAATTCTTATATATATATAACACCACCACTCATATGTAGATATATACGAGAAAATAATTAGTAAATATATATAAATTATATTCTATATTTAAATTCATAAATATTTCTATATTATTTATGATCTAACCGTTCAATTATATTAGGTGTTTTTTTTAATGTCTAATTATAAAAATAGTGACTATATATATTAGTATCTATATATTTATGACATTATTAAATGAACTAGTACGAGTCCCGTGCGACGTACGGGTAAGAAATATATATTAGATTTTATGAATTAAAAATATGGAATCAATGTGTAATACAATTTACCTATATTAATTTATTAAAATGTTATATGAAATTTAAATTGTGAAAAATTACAAAAAATATGTCTATTTAAATTAGTACACAACCCGTACGGTGGACTAACTGATAATAAATTATATAATATTTATTTCAAAATAAGTGACATTTTAAAAAAAAAATTATAAATTCAATTACAATGTGATTCCATTAAAGAAATATTTTGGTAAAATTTTATCAAATATTTAAATATCTATTGAAATAATAAGTATAATTATAAAACTTATATTGTTTAGTTAATTAAAATGAATTTATTTTTGTATAAACTATCCAAATAAAAAATTTTAAGTAGTTGAGTAATTTATTAAATTAAATAATTAACTATTTCATTTACGTCAAAG